GAGACTTAGTCCATGGAGCGAAGGCTTGGGCCGATAGAAAAATTTTTGGGCCCGTTATATAGCCCAGTGCGTAGGACATATAAAACTCGTTGTTTTGGTGATTAGGGTTTATATGGTGGATTGTACAGCCACTCTCTGTATTCAACTCTCTCAATAGTGAAATTCCTGCAGCTTCGTGATGTAGGCAAATTGTCAAACCACGTAAAATCTGTGTCTTGTTCTTTCTTGTTTCTTATTGCTTTATATTCTTGATTTGTTCTTCGATTGTGTGTGTTTGTTAGTGGATTTAAATCGTGTTAAATCCCAACAGAACACCACCACCACCGCCAGAGAAAAGAAATGAAATGGGAAAGTTAAGCATTTTTCCAAACCAGTCCATCACTATGCTCTCTAGTTCTCTGGCTGCTGGTGATGAAATCCAGTTGAATCCAACAACATTAAAGCCAGAGCTAAGCACTTCACCAATAAATCCTGCTACGCTTCCATTGGAAGGGAAGTAACCAAAGAAGTTTGGACTTTGGCAATGTGTTAAACCAGGTATGATATCCTTTTGCACATCTTTTAGAATTGTTTCTATAGTTTCAGGCTCATTTGGAGCAAGCTCTGGCAAGCGTTTTCGAAGGTAACCCAGTTCAACTTGGCTTCGAACTGGATATTTCTCAATATTTTTGTAGTAGTCTGCAAGGAAGTCCACAATCATGTGGCCTTGCCTGCTGAATTCCTCATGGTTTAGAGGATTCATGGTTGTGTTGAGATTGTTATCTAGATCAATGTTCACTTTGATAGTACCCATTGGGATCAAGGTTGAGTTAGGTGGTTTTTCTTGTGGCAGTGGGGAGGTTGCTATGTAGCAAAGGGCTGTCCTTTGGGAGAAGAAAATGGAGAGGGAACTACCACCAAGTAGTAGTGGTCTAGTGGATACCGGCCTTACTCCTCACCTTGAAGTTGGAAATTCGAGTTTTGGAGTTCCTATTGGAGCTTGAGTGGTTGGCCGCTATGTTAACCTAGTTAAGTCTGGTCTTGAGAGGTGTTCCGGCGTGGTCAGGGGTTTTATAATCCCACCGGTGAGGGCCTATCGGGGTGGTTGCTGGGCACTCTTCCTTGCCCCCATCCCTTTTTTTAACCAATGAAAAAAACCTCCCCCACAAACTTTATTTTCAAACTTAATTAGTTTTAAACTTATTTCTTAAATCCAATCTCTTTTTAAAAACATCATTTCGAATGATGCCTTCATGGTTTAGAACGTCATTTCAAATGATGTTTTTAACCTTAACAACATTGAACAAAGTTTGTAATAATAATCAGTGAAAACATCATTTAAAGTAGCGTCTTTTATAAAGTTAGTTTTAATAACGTTTTTAATTTAACAGTTTTGGTAACGGTGTTAAACTTAAAAATGTCATAGCTATTTTGGAACCTTTTCTCCGAACTATTTTGCTTGATCAACTTAATTCCAAAAATTTCAAACTTATTTTTCAAAATCAATTACTATTAAAAATTGTCATTATAAATAACATCTTTGGGGGGCGAAAATGTCATTATGAATAACACTTAATCTATTTTGTATCTATATCTATTTCTGGACTACTAAAAAACATATCTTAAAATGAAAAAAATTTCAATCTTTATTTTACCCTTATAAAGGATTATAAAAATAACTCTATACTTTCATAATTAAATATCTAAATTATCATCATATTCTTATGTAGATCTATATTTATATTTATGCTACTTATAAAAGTATCTTAAAATAAAAACTTTTGAATCTTTATTTTACCCTTATAAAGGACTATAAAGACCATTCTATCATTTCACAATTAAATAACTAAATTATTATCATATTCTTATGTATTTAAATCTTTAAATTATCTATAAAGTCTCTTTTAATTATTTATTGTATATGTATAAATATCAGTTTCTATAAATTTTTTTGATCGACTATATATCCTTAAAAAATATGCATCATTATATTTTCAATAAAGTGTACAAAAAACCTTCAAAAACTTCATCGATCTAATATTGCGCATCTCATATGCAAATATAACATTATACCTACAAATTTGTATTTTCTTTGTCATCGAAAAGTTTAACCCCTACTAATAAATGTACCTTATGTGAAAAACTTTTGAATCTCTATTTTATCATTATAAAGGATTGTAAAGATCACTCTATCTTTTTGCAATTAAATATCTCAATTATCATCATATCTTTATATATTTAAATTTCTAAATTATCTATAACATCTCTTTTAAATGTCTATTCTTTATGTATAAAAATTAGTTTCTATAAAAAAAAAATTGATTGACTATATTACTCTTAAAAATATATATCATTATATTTTTAATGAAATATTCAAAAAAAATTCAAAAACTCAATCAATCTAATATTTCTGATCTCTTATGTAAGGATAGGATTATACCTACATATGTATTTTTTTTTATCAAAAAATTTTAACTTTTTCATTTCTAATTAAGATAAAAAATAATGGTATATATAATTTTTTAAAATTAATTTAATTCAGATCAGTATTTTAAAATTATATTTTTAAGTAAAACTTGAATTTCTTAGAATTTATATACGCTTCATAAGATATATTATAAAATAATATATTAAATCTTATCTCAATTGACCTAAGTTATTCCTAATTACAATAAGGTTCCAATGTAATTAGTATATTGACAATTACTCTTATTTTTATTCAAAAAATTATAAGTGAAATTTTAATCAAACGAATTTCAAGAAATTTAATTTTTCAAATATCACTAAAAAATCAATCTCATTCTCAAAATTCTAAAAAAAATAAAAATTTAACTATTTTTTTTTAATTGTTGTCTAGTTAATTTTTTGCTCATTTAAAAATGTTGGTTCGCTGGACCTAGATTCTACCATGGTAAACGTGGGTTGGGTAAGTGTGACAATCAATATATATGTCCTCGACATGTGGTATTGTCCTGGTGTAACAATAACCACGTATGTGCAGACGCGAGGACAAGTCCCGAGAATGATATTTTGGTTCTGTTTTGTATTATTTGGAGTTAACTACAGAGCGTTGATGGGTCTGCCAATCAGTCAGGAGTCAGGACAATTGGTAAGTTGTTAGAGTATGTGGTCAGACGTGAATCAAAAAAAAAAAAAATCAGCCAGGAGTCGGGACCATTGGTATTAATTAAAAAACATATATATTCGTAAAATAGTACAGTCAGATAGAATGACACGTGACTTGAACTATCTGTCAAAGTTGGTTAGGTTATAGCAATTAAGGTTATATTTACAACATTTACATTCTATACCGAATACCGACATTCTACAGTACCGATTTTTTTCCCAAGTGTTCCGCTTGTCTTTTGTTTTATTTCTTGTCTTTGTTAATGGTTTATGTTTTATTTAATCATTAAAGATTACTAATATTTTGAATTATAAGACTGTTTTATAATGTGTGACTTAATAAAGAAAGATGTTAACAAAGACAATAAATCAAATGTCATTTGTCCACTGTGTGTTTATGATCAATTTCATCTTGCATGTGTAGTTATATGCATTTGGATTTGCGTTTCTTTCTATCTGTATGGGTCATATCTTTTCTTTGACACAGACAAACTTCCAACTAAACTAGAACTTCCACCCGGTTAGGGTGGCCTAATCAACCATGTTTTTTTACTTTATTTTTTAATCATAGGATATATGATTCAAAAGTTTTTCAATTTGGAAACTTTAACATTTCTACTAACGCAATTTTTTAACAAATTTGAGCTAAATATCAAATGATAAGAAAATTATATGTACTGTTATTGGTTTAAATAAATTTATGTTACACCTTTCTTAGCCAGAAAATTCAACCATGAGGTAAGAGAAAAACAATGACAAAACTTTTTAAACTCAAGTAATTTAGTTGTTGGTTAGCTATTGTATAGTGTTTATTTATGAATAAAAAACTTGTGTTTGTTATGTTTGCTTGTGAATCACAATTGGAAATAGTAGTTGTGCACCAATTATACTTGACATTGACATTGCATTTACAAAACCTTAATTTTCTTATAACAATTTTATTGAGAATTTTTCAGCTTGTTATTTTTCTACAATTTGTTCTCAATGTGGATAGATCCATTCAAACAATTGGTGAGGAATATTGTTTTACTCTTCCTGTATTGATGTGTAGATATTGAAAAAAAGAAAGCCAAGAGAAATAGACATAAATATTAGATACTCAACTCCCACATTCTTATCTTGCTTCGATAGAGTCAAATATTAACATATTCATAACATAATTATTCTATCAACTTATATGCGAACTTTATAGGATAACCATTGTTTGGTGTTTAGTTTAGAAGACAAAAATCTACTAATTGTTGTTGTATGTTTAGATAGAATTAACTTTTATATGTGATGATGTTTTTGTTTGATAACGAAAATTTGAATTATAAGACAATATTAATCTATTAATCTAAATTAACCGTATAACATCTATAAACATATGAGATAAAATAAGTTACAATAAAGTTAGATGATTTAGGCGATCTCTCTAATCTTAAAATATATAGTGAATAATGCACATTTTATTTGTCTTGTGAATAATAACTCACTATGAAGTGAAACACTTGTTCTCCATGTGAACAGTTCAAGGTCCAAACAATAAAGATTGGTTTTGTTGACATCAAATTATGATTTAAAAAATGTGCCTATATGTTTTGGTCATGTTCTCTTTGTTGGTTTATGAAAAAACAGTGAATTGTCTAAAAATATTGTTTTTAGATTAATATTTTGCAATGTAAAATGTCATATTGATATCGGAACAAGATTTGAAAATACTATCTTAATCATGGCAAAAGAGACAAGAAATTTTTTAGTAAAACTTTTGACGAATACCTATAAGAACACAAAGAAAAAATTGAGGGTTTATACGATTAAATAATACTTATATTGACAATTTTTATGTTCAAAATGAATCATGTGTAACGCACGTGTGCACCAACTAGTACTAATATTAATCTAAAAACATTACCCCAAACAATATTAAAATTACCCAAATAGTGGTAAATTCACACAAATAGTTGTAATAGCATCCCAACGATAATATTTTCAATTAAATTAAATTTTAATTCATCCAACTAACATTAAAATTCATCAAATTAATACTCAAATTCTATTCAAATTCGCTAGATTAATATTTCATTCCTCAAATTGACATTTAATTCATTGCATTTTATATGCAAATTTGCACCATTAATACTCAATTCATTAAATAACACTCCAAAATTATCTAATAAACATTCAATTCTTCAAATTAACATGTCATTTCATCAAATTAAGATTCAATTCATCAAATTGACATCAAATTAACACACAAATTAATGCAATTAGCATTCAATTTATCAAATTTATAGTAAATTGGCACTCACATTCATCAAATTAACATTTAATCTCATTTAGCTAATATTCAATTTATCAAATTAATATAAAATTAACATTAAATTCATCAAATTAACATTCAAATTTAACTAGTTATTATTAACTTCATCAAATCAACATCTAAATTAACATTCAATTTAATCCGATTAATATTCAATTCATTAAATTAACACTAATTTAACATTTAATTGATCCAATTATATTCAATCCATACAATTAACATTCAATTGATCAAATTAACATCCAAATCATCGAATAAATATTAAATTCATCAAATCAACAACAAAGTACCATGCAATTTCATTTAATGAAAATACAATCAATCAAATTGACATCAAATTAACATCTAAATTCATTCCATTAACATTCAATTTATAAAATTAATATTCAGTGTCATCCAGTTAGCACTCAATGTATCAAACCAATATTCAATTTTTTCAAATGAACATCTAAAAGCATCCAATAAACACTAAATTCATCAAAT